CCAGACGACACTAAAAGATCAAAGAAAGTGCGAGTCGCCACTGGGGGATTGAACGCATCCTGCATTACAATAGAGAGTAGAAGAATTTAAGGTGATTATGCATAAATAAGACAAGCCGGAAAATAATGTACCGCAGTGGGTCCTATTTTCCCCTTGAATAACTACTAAACGGTCTGTTGCACAATACCTGTCCCCCATGAATCAAAAGTATTTTCCGCGGTAAAAGCATTTTCAACTGATCTCGTTTCGTGGATTGTGCGAGAGCATGTTGAAGCAGATATGTTGGTGAACATTGAAGAAATGTTTCCGACGAATTTCCTGTTATAGCATACGCAGTAAATAGCAAAAATTCGGTCAGCTTTACTGATATTGAGTATTGCGATGGTAAGTATCAAACGAATCGTGTGCCTGTTCACCGATCCCGGAAACTTTGCAGACACACTTACCCATTACACGTGGCATTGCGTGAACTTGTTCAAGCCCTGAAAAAAAAACGAATTGATGGACATTAATATAGGAATCAAAAATATCACTCATTTTTAGAGAATATTTACCTTTCTGATATAAATATGCGTAGTAATAGATCACATCGTAATTACCAGAAAACCTGCATACATAACATTAAATGTCAATGATAGAGAATATGACGTTTTATGACATCCTTTGAGCTTTAATCATAAGTTGTGGCATACTGGTTCAGTATTTCCTCAAAATTACTAAGATAATTCGTATAATAGTCTCCGTGCACTTCAAACTGTTTTCGGCTCACGCTTCATTTCTACTCACAGAATCAATCCTTGCACTCTTGGCATTGGTGTTCGTCGTATTGCATTGTCCCATATCGGAAGGTTAACTTCTGTTGGGTTGGGAGGTAATACGTCCAGGCTGGCACACACATCATGAACTATGGTTAATGCACATATCAACGCGCCCGCTGCGTGGCCCAACAAGTATATCTGTGAAGGATCTCCGTGGAATTGTCTATATTAAGCGAAAGAGAACGGAGATTCTGGTTACAATTGACCCGCCAATTTATTGATGTAAGTGACAAAAGGGCGGTTAGTAAGACATGCCTAATGTGCGTGCGTGTCCAGTAAATACACTGCTGGATATCAGCAACCATTTCGGCGATTTTACCCTTAACGAAACGAGATGAGCAAATCAATTTAAAACATGTCATAAAAAACGACTGCATCATAGTATGCGTACAATCGATTAATCAATTTACTAACCTTTGGATATAGAGTAATATCAGGAACGACTACAACATATCCTTGGCTCTGTAAATTATGGGCGACGGGCATGCATGTCGACTTATTTCCTATAGCAGACGATCGTCATTATAATCACTAATAAAGAAACCGAACGACGCCTCACTTTTACCCGTCCTCCCCGCTTTCTCAACTAACCGGCACTCCAAGACGTGCTAATAAGGATAATGACTGGATTTTCATGTGTCGACGGAGTATGCATTGTTGTATTGGTAGGGACAGGCATCGTGGGACTATTTTTGAGAACAGTAGTCGAAACTCTATCAGGAAGATATACATCGAGGCGATTGCGGGGACGAGTACCATAGCGTACATTCCGTCTGCAAGATATGGGTTAGAAATAAAGGGAGAGATTAGCCGCCATAACAAAGATCATGAATGACCGAATAATAAGGTAAAAGCGGCAATTCGTCGACAAATGCGTTAGTGATAAACGAGATCACCGGCGCTAATAGACGTCAATAATGACCGATCATCTGTTCACAGACTCTTTGCCTCACCTCACTGAACTAGGTTTTCTCTCTGTCGACAGCTTGTGCCAACCATATTGTAGTATGGATGGCAAAAAAGGACCGGTGATATTATCATACACGCAACTTAATAAGTGATAGGTTACTTTGAACACTCTCTTGGGATTCAACGGAACGATCGCTTGTGCCTGAGGAGCATCGGATTGCGCTGAGGAATGGAGATAGGATTTGAATCGTCAAATTGTCGACTCGGCAAAAAATTGTTCATTAAATCTGCGAAAAATTCTCGACTCACCGTATAAAAGATAAAAAGTCCAACAAATTGCATAAGCGGTAACTTAAGAAATGGATTTAGCGTTGGATAGGATTCAAAGTTTTCGGTCAGTAGCGTTCCTGGTTTGCACGACATAGGTACAAAGTACAAAGAGTACAACGAATGCACGCAATCTGTCCACTTACTAGTACAGGAGAAAACCAACGGCCAAAACATCCAGAGCAACAGTAGAATTGATATCTTTTTAAACGTTTTCTTCTCCATTTTCACACTTAATTATACTCTTTGCAAGTATGTCCTTCTCGGATCTCTCGTCAAGAGAATCACAATCTGAATAATATCAATATGGATATAAATAATAAGCAATGCTATATGTAGTTATCTATCTTTTCATAGGGGGGGTTTTAAATAAATATTGTGGAATTCAATTTGTTCAATGAATGCTCCCGAATCTTGCCTGTCTCGCGTTCATGGCTTTGCATTAAAGTCGCTGAATATGTTTGAATAATCACGTGCAAATGTAGGGTACAGTCTTTTTTTAGAATGGGAGATTGTGATTATACAGATTATCATTGTTTGCAACCAGCCAAATTGCAACTAAATGAAAATTTACTATCCAATGATTGGTCTTATGATGGATATTTCTCATCCTCCTTAATATTAAGAGAAGGGAGGAAAAAATCAGATCCGTGTGACCGCACATTGGTTATGGAAGGCGCACCAAATGAGGAACATCAAATAAAGAAATGTTTATTCCCTGGCTTCCCACTCATGATTCACACAGTATATATCCCCCCCGCAAAGAAGAGATTCGACTTTTGACTTTATTAAGTCTAGTGAGTTGGTTGGGCGTGGACACTCCTTACCAAATTCCTAACTTGTTATGTATCAATAATTGGACATATAAATATCTATAATCAAACTAGTCATATCGACCAATCGACAGTTTGTTCGCTTATAGAATGGTTTCAATATTAAATTGACATGATATCGTGAGGTATCGTTACTTGTGTTTTAGGTATCGATGCTTTAGTATCAAAATATTACAGCTCTTCATTCAAAAGATTTGTATCACAAACACAGTAATTAGATTTACGACTTACAATTAGGGAAAGAAAGAATGTCAACGTTCCCAGCGAACAACTGAGGAAAGCGTTAGCGTTTCAAAGACAAGAATTTTGATTTGTGTATATACAGTATACTTTTACCATGTATAATCGATGCTTATTGATTGAGTGTTGTACCTTTTTTATGGGTGAACGAACTTTTCGAATTCAAACCTAACATATATGATATTTCCAATAGAAAGAACTATCGCCTCACACAAAGCGCGCAAGCTTTGTACGGACCAAGAGACGTTCTAGCGGTAAATAATTTTTGCTTAGCAAGACATTGTCGAGTGAGGCAAGTTGCAAAGTGACTTGTCACTATCTGTGTAACGTGTATTTTAGTCACGGGGGACGATGCTATCCACATTCCGATCAAATCAATTATGTTTTGATAAGTTCGAACAACCAGATAGAAATAAGCAATTGAACAGTGTAAAAGCTACTCGTCAAGGACGCTGTTTTAACAGACTAATAATAACGCAATAATATATTTTACTCGGCGTTTTGCGGTAACATAAAGGTAGTAAACTAAAAAATGCACATGTTTACAGATTTATGTCATTCAGGTTTAACTTAAGAAAAACTCATACTTCTGGTTACAAGACCATTCAGATACAGTATATTCGGCCCCGCTTCCAATATAGTGATCCTCACACGTGAGCCTAAATATCTTGCATGGACTATATGTATACATATCTTATCTAAATGCGGAATATGCTGGTAAAGTAGTACTGGCACAACTCATTTGTTCTATGATGCAAACTGTTTCTTTAATCTGATACGTGTTTTTTTTTGTAAAAAGCGCTATTTGTGATATTAATGTTGCTTTTATCTGTTGCAATATCTCTCCTTAGCATTACGTATACAAATATTCTTGGCTATGTCGCGGTTATAATCTTACGGTCACTATTTAATATTGCTAAAATATATTAAATAAACGAATTAGACCGTCATTTCTATATTATTCGGTTTTTTCCCGACATGTTACTATTGAAAGAACAAAATCAACCAATTAAATTGTGATCTGCTCGGAAACAATTGTAACCCCATCTTTATTTTAATCTAATTATTAAACCGTACATATATATATCACAATGACGCAGAAGTGATTAGTAATTTTATACGCTATGTAAATAACCAATAAACAGCATATAAAATAAATAGGCTTTAACATATTCCGAATCGCATTATGCACATAAAGACAAGGGGTCTAACTCGATCGAGACACTTTTAATTAAATTTGCCGATATCTTAAACATGAAACAAGTAAAATATTTCTCTGTTCGTAACTTACTTGTTTGGTTAACGGCCTACCTAATATGGCTTGTCTATCGGAGTTTATGGAGTTTACCTGCGGATAATTTTTATAAAGTTAAGCGCGACATCGAGTAGAATGAGAACCTCACCTGTACCACGTATGTCCGTATCCACTTTCTTCTATACCTCCCCGATCAATTTGTCATTATCGAATCCGAAAACGTTCAATACGATATGATGCAGCTAGTAATTGTAATAGCCGATGTTTGTTTGGATCATCAATTCCAAGATCTTTCCTTGTGACACATCATATGCACATAATTGCCTATTATTCACTAATATTAATACGCATAACAAAGGTTGTGTAACATCTTTACTCGGTTTATGCTCGGGTGATAAAACAGACGCCAGCTTTTTGCTCTGCAAAAAAAAAAAACCACACATAACTTGTTCAACTTGAAGTTTGTTCCTTTCTTTATTTATCTCCAAACCTCCACTTTCTTTATACCGTAGAACTTGGCTGGGCCTGGTTCCCATACAAATCCCCTAATCCAGAGACATCGCTACATCAATACCTACTATACTACAATACATTATCCTCACTATTTTATCATTCACGATGTCTTCGTCTTCGTCTTCAAGACAGACAACCCACCGACGTACTACTAGTTTAAGTGCATTCAACAACTCCTCTGACAATCTACTTGCTGTGCCCAATCAACGTCATGATACAAGCGGTAGGCAGGCATCTCAGCAGCTTTCTCCCATAGTTACCCAGAATGGTCACTTGTCAGTAATACCGGAGAAATTAGCTCCATTGACTCCACCATTAACGCCCTCTAAGTCGAAGCCTTTCGGACAATGGACCTGGAATTTCTGGGTTGACCCGAAATATAGTAAATATACGTCCGCCATGACAAAAATCAAGAATGTCGTGTTTCCACTAGCATTTTTTCTTGCGTTCGTTGTATTCCTCAGCAGTTTGGGTGGTGTTGGAGTGATCGATGACGAATTGGATGTGAATAGTCAGAGTTTTGCACCGGCTGAAAATGCGATAAATCATGAGCCGTTAGGGTCAATGTTCGACAATGGCTATCAAGGAACCGATGAGCATACAGACCACGTGGAGGATCCATTTGGTATAGCTGAAACAAATTTTGATGGACCAGATAATTGGAATGACAATACAAAAGATAACGTAATACACGAAAACTACGATGAACCGCCTTATAATGTCGAGGCTTCATCCAATCATATGAGCGTAAATGAAGGCGAGAACAGAAACGGTGACTATAACGGCGGTGGCAATGACGGTACCAATAACGTCGATAATGACGTCGACAGTTATGGTGGCAATAACGACGGTGACAATACATTTACCGAAAATAATGCGAATAATAATGTAAATAGTCCAGTAAATGACAAAATCGGCGACTTGGTTGAACCCGAAAATACTAATTACGATGGAGAAGGCACCGATTCCACTGATCGTCCCCTTGGCAGTTATGAAAACCAAGATAATATATTTGACGATTTGAAGCAACAGAATGATGGTGGCGATCGCAGCAGCAATGTCAACAGTTATGCTGAATATCTACGTCAGTACGCGTATGTACGTTCTGGTCCTCATTACACTTACACCAACATATTGAATTTATTAACTGCTGAAGATAAAGCAAAGCTTGCCGAGCTACGGTCTGAAATCGCTTATGCTGATGAAAGTGCGGATATTTCTTGTGGATCATGGCAAGAGAAATATGCCAGGTTACATGAAGATATGAGGGAAGGCAAGATACCACCAAGATTTGTTAGTTACGTATGTGACCAATCAAGCGACTGTGGTGGGTTAGCAGATAGGTAAGAAGACAAAATAAATGTGTATAAAAGTTTTGTGTAGCGCGTGCGCAAACAATTTGTACATTACACATTTCCGAAACATTACTTTTCACTTTCTGTACACATTTACCTATTCTAACTGTAACGCCTTTTCATTTTCTCGTGCAGATTATTGGGCATGTCATCAACGTTCATATTCGCCTTGCTCACTGATCGTGCCTTTCTGGCGGAATGGAAAACACCACCACCTCTTGAAGCAATTTTCGAGTCTCCGAATATAGATTGGAGCTACGATTCATCCGATCCGGACGCAGTACTCAAAGATCTCATTCCGACGCCTCTTGACGTGGTGAATTATAGTGCTCAACACATAGATCGCCTATTCCTCCATTCAAACTGGACCATTAAATATCCCGAACCCTTTATTAAATTCCATACTAATCGTGGGATGGTATTACGGACGTTCAGCTCACGCATCTATGCTCCTCAGCTAAACCTTATGGGTTTGCGACCACATACATCACTTGGATGCATTCTCGACTACCTATTCCGCCCGAGTCCTCCAGTAATGTCATTTATCGCTGAATATTCTGCATTGTTTACCCATCCTCGTATTTTCTCTGTTGGTATACAGATAAGCACGGGAGAAAACAAGTTCGAGCATTCGATTGGAAATTCTCAGAAGTACTCGCTACACAGATACAAGAACTTTTTCAAATGTGCCGATGAACTAGTAGAGACATATGCTATGCCTTGGCAGGAAGTAGTCTATTATTTGGTAACCGATTCTGAAACGTTGAGAAGTGAAGCATTGACAATGAAGAACGTAGTCATATCCGGGTTACCTATCGGCACCAAGGCGGGGAATGGACCCGCTGATCTTGTGCACAATGCTGTTATTGAAAATTGGATTCTAAGTAAAACTAACTATAGGGTGAGTAGTAATTGCTTGAATTACGAGTGATCGTTCATTGGATTCAGCAGAGTGTGCGATTGGAAGATTGTATTTTTTATTGACATCACTTTGTACCTACGTTTAGATCATATCTCCTGGAAGCCTTGGTAAATTAGCTGCTCTCCACTCTAAAACACTTCATTCAACAATCACGATTTACCCACAAGCAGAAACAAATCTGCAAAATGGATACCATCGGCCAATTACAGACTGCACGAAAGAGGTTAGTTAACGACAAAACGTCGATGGAACGTAGTTAATGAAATAGTAAAAGCGTTTCTCGTTTGCTTTATGCTGATACTAATACTTTATAATTTTTTGTTGCGTAGGATGCATTTACTATGTTCCGCGAGTTTGCGTCTGATCTATCACTCGCTTAAAAACGTTGTGATCGAGAGACCAAGTTGGAAGATGAGTTGTCATGTGTATAAATTCAGTAATCATTAACTTAGTAATATTTAAAATTCAATTCAATTACCAGCACTGGCCTCTACCAAGGTTTAAATTATTTATTCATTATTGTATTTATTGAATAGACTGTCAGCAAGGTTATTAAAATGAATGTAATAGAAAGAAAGGACACAAACAATAATAATACAAAATTGATGGTTAAAACAAACAGATAATTTACTTTTTATAATGTAAATCGGAAAGAACTGTTTTGGGATCTGTTTCAGTTCAGAACTGTCCAGAGGTTGCCCTCACTGGGAGACATTAACAATAGTTCTATGGGTATGATAGTCCTTTCGTATGTATCTACCCAAGAGACACTGACACTTGCAAGGCTTTCTCTGGAAGGTAGTACATTCACATATTATATTATAATAATTAGAAGTATCTTAAAGAAAGCTCAAGGAGAAAAATTGCGCCTTATTAACAGGGAAATTGTTCAAACATGTCAAAGCTCTTGACAAATACATTAATATTAATGTAAAAAAGATGACCACAATGAAACAGACAAGGATGGATCAATTTTTTAATAATAACTAGTGTATAACCCGTCACTTCGTTGACAGTGTGGTTATTTTATATTTTACATTAATACTTTTATTTCGCTAACGTATCCATAAAGAAATAATGAACATTTGATGGTCATCTATTGGATAATTTTGTAACACGAATATGCAATGTCCGTCCACCAGTTTTTTTAAATTATACTAGTGTATAACCCGTCACTTCGTTGACATATTTTACATTTATACTTTTATTCGCTAACGTTATCCATAATCATAATAATAAAAGTGTTAGGCGTCGCGGTTGTAAACAAAGAAATGATGAACATGTGATGGTCATCTATTGGATAATTTGTAACACGAATATGCAATGTCCGTCCACCTTGCAGCATCCAGTTTTTTTAAATTATATATATGATATATAGATAAATGGGGCAGACTAGACAAAGTGAACATTTGATCATATGAGCTAAAAGAGGCTGATGTGGCTGGAAAATGAACTAATTTAGCTGGTAAAATTTTGGTGAGGTTTTGCTCATTTTATAGCTGTGGCTCATGTACCAATCCAGACTAATTTTTAGTGACATTTTAGACCTATTACTATGGTATAAGTGAGCGACTAGCATTCGTGTATAAAAGCAACACTTCCAAAACAAAAACACTTGCTGCAACGTATACTCAAATTGCAGAAAAAAGACTGTACATGGTTTCTTCTAATTGCGAGCAAAACATTGGCACTATCCAAAAATCTTTATTCAATAAAATGGTTCGTTATATTCATCTTTGACAAAACTCTGCGTGTGCAAACATGAATGCTAATTGCATTTCTATTTGTAGAACTTTCTGCACAAAGTTGCAGAAGCTTTCGCGCTTTTGCTCTTCCTTGTTTGGATGCTCATCATCAAGAAGAGCTCTCACACAGTTGTAATCATTGCATGCTTCCTTCCACATATTAATAACCGCCAACAAGCTGCTGTGCACATGGTGGTTGACAAACTGAAGAGCCTCAGCGAAATACGAGATAAACTCAAGCGGTTCAAACCAAATGACCAACATCGCTCTCCGAAACCAACCAAATCATATGGCAGAGACGTTCTAACACTCTGGGACGAATTTAAAAAGCTCTTTGATGCAAAGAGGAAATTGGACGATATTAATATTGTACTGCAAAATTAAGGGCGAGATCGATAACCTAGAGAAGGGGTCCATCGGGACTTCTACAGTGGAGAACTTTTACAAATGTAGAACGAAACCCAAACCTAGAACCTTGAAATTTAATAGCTGAGCGAGCCCAAAGAATAGGGACAGTTTTCGCCTTTCAAGGCAGGTCTAGGGGCCGACTGCTCCCTCCCTTGCAAGCTCGCAATGGTTGATGTTTTAATTGATCGCTAAAAACAATGCGCGTAATCTCCACGTGATTCATTCGTTTAAGAGGTTCGAAAATGGGGAAGTGGCTGCGCAATCGTCTTTCGCTTTTTTCCCCCCCAGCTTAATACCTCACTGCGAGTCTTTGTTCAACAGACTCACCTTTCTTCGCCACTCGTTGTGTCGATGCTGAATCTTTACGCACGACAAATTGGAACTTGCTTCAGAACAAATTTTGCTGTGAGTGCTAGCACGCGTACTTCTTTGCAATTTTGCCTACAAGCGAAGCGTCCTTCAATTCGTCAAAGGTAAAGATGCTGCTTGTTCATACTGTACTATTTTACGAAGAGACATACTAACTGTCATTACGATTCTCCAAATTGTAATATTAGCTTCCCAGAGGCGCAGCTGTATCCGAATCAAGTCTCTAGACTGTTCTGGAAAAACTCGTTTAGTACAGCAACAGCTACTGACATGGGGCGTCCAAAGGCTTGGTTCAAGCTGGTGAATCCGGAAAGTGCCTGGGACAAGGTTCCACTGATTGAAGTTGATGATGTGGCTGATCTCAAAGAAGCAATTAATAATTAAGAAAAAGGCATCTCCTGACCTTGATGTGTACTCCACAAGCTGACTTGTTCTCATGGTCTCAAAGGGGTGCAAAGATGTGAACCAGGCAGTGGAAGTAGATGCAGAAACTATGCTGGTTTCAATCCTTAAGGCACATGAATTGATGAATGAGACTTCATTCCAAGTGGCTCCAAATTCATATCAAGTGGATGTAACTTTAGTCTGAAAGACCTTTGCAGAAAATATCCATCTTTTTGTTTCTGCTCCTGGTGGTAAGTATTCACTATTTCACTTGTTCTTGTAATTGCATTTTTTAATGTTTACTTTTCAACCTATCCAATTCTTTATCAATCGTTATTCCATATTCCTATTAGCATCAAGAAAACAATCTATAACTGATGCTTTTCCTCATGTGTGTAATCAACAGCCCTCTAAGTCTGATGCATTCTTTCTGTTATCATGCTAACTAGTAGTTGATTTCCTCTAAGGTTTGCCATATGTTTGAACCCCAACTACTCCTATATTATATATACAATGGGCTTACTAGTCAGCCCCTAGACCTACCTCAAAAGGTGATAATTGTCCCTATTCTCTGGCTCACTAGTGGAAACATCATTGAGTTCCTTCTTATTTTCTACCCATAATTCTATCAACTTTAAAGTTTTCATCTTGGGATTCATTTTACACTCATAAAAGTTCTCCACTGTAGCAGCTCTGATGGTACTGGTGCCCTTCCCAAGGCCTTCGATCTCTTCCTTAATCTTGCAGTACATTTCAGACAGGCTATTATCATTAATTTTTTTCTCTGCATCAAAGAGTTCTTTGAACCCTTTCCAGAGGGTTAAAACATCTTCTTTATATAATTTGGTTGCTTTGACAGAGCTAGATACTCAAGAGTTGTACCTACTGACACAATTGCAATTATTTTATAATGCTGCTGAGCTTCTCAAGCACAAATAACGTAAAGGGAAAACTTCTGCAAGTTTGATAGGAATGTCTACAAATGAAAACACAATCAGCATTTGTCTGCACATAGTAATAGTAATAGTAATAGTCCCATATACATCATTTGTTATTATTACTTCTTGTACTGTCCCATTTATTATTATTATTATTATTAACGTTAAGTACATTTTCATCGCCGTCTCCTGATGCATCCTCATGCACATACTTTCCTATTTTATAATTTCT